AAAAAATGAGAGGCCGAAGCATTTGTAAATAAATTGGCCTGCTGTAGCTGTACCACAACACTTTCAATAAGCGACACTTTCAAGAGAATATTCACAGTAGATATGGTAGATATTATCGTTCGACATACAAATAAAAAGGCTTTGTCAGTCTACGCAGCATTCAATGCAGCGCATCCAGATTCGAAGCGAGAATGGAAGCATGTTACTGTACAAGAAATGTACTCATTCATGGCCATTTTGATTTGCTCTGGTGTTAATAATTCTAACATCGATCATATAAGTGTTATGTGGCATTCAAATTCATATCCACTCTATCGAGCGACAATGGGGCTCAATAGGTTTCGAAACATCATGCGTTTTATTAGATTTGACGACGCCAATACACGCCAGCAACGCGCAAAAGAAGACAAAGCAGCTCCGATCCGTGATCTCTGGACAATGCTCAACGCAAATTTATCTAAGATGTACAAGCCGACGGAGAATTTAACGATCGATGAACAACTTTATCCTTTTCGCGGTCGCACAAAGTTTACGCAGTATATACCTTCGAAACCAGCCAAATATGGAATCAAGATTTGGTGGATTTGCGACGCTGAAAATGCCTATCCCTTGCACGGCATCATTTACACAGGCAAAACAGATAATGTTCGAGAGAAACGTCAAGGAGAAAGAATAGTAAAAGAACTTGCAGCCGCGTACCGAGGCAGTGGTAGAAATATTACCATGGATAATTTTTTTACAACCTTACCAGTTGCCAAACATTTACTTTCATGGAAGTTAACTTTAGTTGGCACTTTGAAGAAAAATAAACCTTACATTCCAAGTGTGATGGCTCCGAATAAATCGAGAGAACTATACTCTACTATGTTTGGATTCCACGAAAAAGTAACGCTGTGCTCCTACGTACCGAAGAAGAATAAAGCAGTTATTCTAATATCAACGATGCATTCCGACATGGCTGTGAACGATGATGCTAAGAAGAAGCCCCATATTATCACATATTACAATAAATATAAAGCTGGCGTCGACACGATGGGCCAAATGATTAGTAGATACACTACACAACGTCGCACTTTGAGATGGCCGGTAGTTATGTTTTTCAACATATTAGACGTTGCCTCACTCGCTGCCTACCTCATTTATTATGAAAATAATAAGATGCTGCCGAAAAAAACCAACCAGCGACGGTTATTTCTACGCCAATTGAGCGAAGAACTTGCAACGCCAATGATTGAGGATCGATATCATAACGTGCAAATAATGAGAAATTATAGCACCAAGATCGCTATTGAAAGTGTAATCGGTCGGCCAGTAAATCCAGTGGAGGCTGATCCAGATCCGTCAGTTCAACGAGATGCATCAGGAAGGAAGAAAGTTATCGGTTCCTGCCATATTTGTTACAAACAAACAATTAAGAAGAGAAGGAAAACACGAAAGGCCTGCTCCGAATGTGATAGGCCTATTTGCGATGAACATGCGATAACTTTTGCCAAGTGCATAGAATGCAATAAATAAATGTTTTTTTTGTTTTTTAAATAAATTTTCATGTATTTTCTTATTACGCAACTCATTTCACATGCATAAATCAAATAAATTAATAAAAAAAGCTAATAGTTCACTCAAAATTGAATTTTTCTATGGTGGGTACCCAGGTAACCGGGTGCGTCCGCGGCATATGTATACTTTAAACTAGATTATTTATGCTTAAAAAAATTCTTAAAAATCTCCAAATGCACCATTTGCTTAAAAATGAGTTAAATAACGACGATCCGGGCGTACAAAGCGAAATTTTCATTTTTAATCCACTTACATGCAAAAATGAGCAGTGGTGGGCACCCGGTTACCCGGGTGCGCACACAAGGGTTAAAATTTTAATTAGAATTGCCGGATTTCGGTTTGGCAGAAATTCGAATAATTTTTGACTAATTTAGCGCAGATTCAAAATATTTAAGTTGGAATCTCAGCTAAAAAAATTTTAAATGGTTTGTGTTTTAGCTATGCCGATTTTGTTAAAATTATTTAATTATATTTTGTATTCAATTTTATTTCTTATACATTTTTATTATACTTGTTGATGACAGGAGTGAGAAGATTAAAAAGCTATAAACTGCCCGTGAAACTCAAAGTGGGCCAAAATGAAGAAATATAACCTAAATATATTTTGTACTTTTACATTTGTGTCAAATTAGAAAGAAATCGGAGTGTACTTTTTGGGTAGATTTACTTGTTAGAAATATCATAAAAATAGTGATGAACGGCAAGATAAAGTTGAAGCGGCCCAATTACGTTTTATACAATGTACCCAAATTAGCTAACTAAATTATGAATAATTGCGCTTCCTTGACAACTTTTTACACTCGCGCGCGTTTCGACTTCGTCAATATTACGCGCGAAGTGTTGAGCGAAGGGAATTGTACATTGACAGTAAAGGAAAAATCCAAAACAGTTAAATCACTTGGAACGTCATACTGAGAGCATAGTATCTTAGTCAAATTCTTGGATCACCTTAATCTCGACGGTAACATCATCCTCGACACGTAACATCCAAAGGGCTTCTCCGAGGCACCAAACCACAAGTAGTTCCGAACTATATATGACGGCATTAGTTGTCACTTCTTTGGCCGGCATTTACATGGAGGGAAGATGTAGCCTTTCGTACGCGATCTTGCGCGCAAACGCTGTTACTAACGTAACCACCTTAAGCCAAGTATATTCATGTACACGAACACACAGAAAGATCTCTCTACTTAAATTATGCTTTACTTGAGCTAATTTGAGCACTGGTCTCGGAAATAAATAACGAACATTTTTAATTGAAAAGCTTAATGCAAGATTGGTCTTTGAATTTCTCTAAGAACTTGGGAAAGATAATTTAAAAAACTCAAGGAACTTTTCAGTAGCTCAGATTAACTTCGTCAAGTTCTTAATGGGATGCCGAACATGAAAACTTTACCGACATAACATTGTCTTTTTTTTTGCAAAGTTTACATCTTGTTACTTAAATTACAGAATTATAAACGTTTTTATACAACAAAAGTGCATGCAAAAATTAATGAAATAACAGCTCAAAATTTAAATTTAAACATATTTTTTTTTCATTTTCGTCATATACTGAGCAATGCTCTAATCAAGAAAATCTCAAAAATCACTACTACACTTTCAGAATTTAGTTTCGATGCCAAAAAAAGATACGAAAAGTTTGCAGAAAAGTTTATGATTACATGCGGTTAGGTTTTTCGACAACTATGATAAAATAGAGCGATAAATTAGTTCACTGATATTTTTCAAAATGGCACCGTACTTTTATTTAGAGTATATATATATATATATATATATATATATATATATATATATATATATATATACATATATAGTTTCCTCAGAGCCCGCACAACTATTTATTGCAACGACGATAATGACTAAACAAAGACGAGGAAATCGTCTTAACGGCACGCCCGAGTTGCTTTCGTAATAGCAATAATTAAATAATAATGACTGAATAAAGAAGTAATAATACTCGAATATTAAATGTTAGTGATAATAATATCTGTTCGACAATCGTGTGATAATATCCGCGAGTGGATAATAAAGAAATAATGATAATCGAATAATCGGTAATAACAATGAATAACAATAACTAGGCAACGGCAATAATAACTGATTAAAGACGAGGTAAAGAACGGCACGTCCAAGTTGCTTTCCTATGCGTAATAGCAATTATTAAATAATAACCGAATAAATTAAATAATAATCGAATAAAGAAATAATAATACTCGAATATTAAGTGGTAGTGATAATAATATCTGCTCGACAATCGTGTGATAATATCCGCGAGTGAATGATAACGAAATAATGATGATCGAATAATTGATAGTAACAATACTTGGGCAATGATTCTAACAAAAACTCTAGGCTCTACAAAGGCTAGGTAAACGGACTGTCGTAACGGCCCGCTCGTGCCGCTGACTGAGCGGCGCTTGGGGGGGAGGGGAGCCTGTTCATGTAGACACACATGTGCGAGCACGTGCTCGAGCATCATGCCACAACACTCTCAACCGTCGAGAGGAGCACATAGGGAGCTGGCGCGTTATTTTTTAGATTATTCCGTACCGATTTTTAATACTGCGTTTCTACTTCGCGACAACTGAAGCGATAATTAAGACAAATAAAGACGTGTACTCCTCACGCGAGCAGAAGTTGCGGACTTTACCGCGACAGGTAATTACCGCGTTTTATTTACTTTTTTACTTGTTAGATAGAGAAATGCGATCGAGTCCCTCAATCCCGACCAAATATTATCATCATCCATTTATTATTCGAATATTATTACTTCTTTATTTAGTTGTCATTTTATTATTTTTATTGCGGAGTTTTTATTTGTATTGGGAAGCAACTCGAGCGTATGAAGATTTCCTTATCTCGTCTTGCTGTAGTGTGTAATTAATTGATACTATCGGTGTTATTATATGGTTGTTGATCAGATATTAATATCATCATCCATTAATTAATCGGGTATTATTACTTCTTTATTCAGCTATGATTTAATTAGTTCTTATTGCGCAGAAACTTATTGGGAAGGAACTCGAACGTTACGACAATTGCTTTTCCTCGTTTTGCTATCGCGTGTAACTAATTAATATTAAATTATTAAACTATTAAATTAAATTAAATTTCTTTCATAGAGATCCAATAGAGCAGACGCAGATACGTGGCTCTAGGGGATGCGATGCCTGGGAGATTGCCGCGCCGGAGGATTCGGCTCGGGTCTGTCTGAGTCGGCTTGAAGGTGAGCTTTATTAATTTGTACTTATAATTAGAAATCCAACAAAACTGAAAATTTTCTTGTTTGAAATCGAGTTTCTTAATGCCTCCATCGTCGTGTAACTAATTAATACTCAATTAAATATGTTTTTTTGTTGCAGAGACGAGCACTCGACTCTAAGGGGATGCTGCGCCGGAGGATCCGGCTCGGGCCTGGCAAAGTTGGCGCGAAAGTGAGTTTCGCTAATTTGAATTCATAATTCCGATAAAACTGGAAATTTTTTTGTCTGAAATCGAGTTCCTTAATACCTCCATTATTGTGTGCAATATTAAATTAAACCTGCTTTTTATTGCAGAGACGAAACAGACGACCAGCCGACTCTTAGGAGCTGCTGCGCCGGAGGATCTGGCTCGGGTCGAGCGGGGTTAGTTCGAAGGTGAGCTTCATTAATTAACATTTGTAATTAGAAATCCGACAAGATTGATAATTCTCTTGCTCGAAATCGAGATAATTTGAATTGAATCAAAGATCGCGTTAAATCGTAATTATACGCGGGGAGAATTTTTTCTAAGTAACATCACCACTTCAAAAATTTTGATTTGTTCTGATTAAGAGATTTATTTGCAACGTCGAGAAAAAGGAAAGTGGAATATTCCAAGTGTGAATACATTCCGAAAAATATCGCGTTTATTTATTTTTTAATTCTTCAAACTTCTTCACTCAAATTGTCATCAACGCACAAATCTAATCGGCGAAATGGCTTTTTTCTGTTCCAGAAACGAAAGCAGAATGTGGCTACCCTGATCGGCGGTTTGGTGAGTAAAAACAAGAAACATATTGATAATAGAAAGACAAAAAGTCTTTTGATGTACATGCTTATCGAATCAATGCGATTTATTTTGCTGTAATTGTAGTTTTGCTGTATGTGTACATGCTGTCTAATAAAAATCATACTGCTGGAAACAATTGGAATATCGTTTTTTCAAATAATAATATTAGTGATAATGCATATTTTACATAAATTTGGCAAATAAATTTTCAAGTATTTTTTTCCCAATGTATATATATTTAGAAATTGATTAACTTAGATTATTGATTTTTGTCGAAGGAAATTTTTATTAATTAAATCCCAAAACTATCTGGTAAATGCTTAAAGTATTTAGTATAAACATTCAAAATTTTCAATTTTATTGAATGCGATCTTCCAAGTGTCTCGAGCAGTGCGCCAACGTGCAAAGAAATTGCGCCAACGCGCAAAAGGATTGCGCCACAGAAAATGCGCAATCACATCACCCGCGTCATAGATCTTCCACCAGTCGTTAATTTTCTCTGTCGAATGAGCTTTAATCGCGATTGTATTTCATAAAATAGAGTTCGTGCTTTGTTATTATGTAAAATTCGATATCGTGCGGCACCTGGGCGAAGCGATCTAACGTGATTATATAAACTGCTCGCAAAATTAATTTCACGATCATTGGAAATTTTTCATTTAGAGTTAGAGTTTCCTAAGGCGGGATACAATAGAGACAATGCTAGCTAGCTTGATTCTTCGCGAGAAACGCGATGTACACAAGTCAGACATGCGAGCAGTTGCTTGTTTACTTACACAGCACGTGACAAATTCGAACGAAGACAGACGTTTAACGCCGTAACATTTTTTTCGCGTACGTTTGAATAAAATCTTTATCTCTATCGTCACAATTTTCATAGTTTTTTATTTTTAATTCACGTTCGTGTTCGCGATTATTAATTTGATAGGTTTGCGAATTTAATCGAATCGTATATACGGAAGAGTCGCGAGCGAACTTCGCAGAAATATTGTGGAGTTGTTATCCGCAAAAACTTTGCGGAAGTGTCTTCGCA